TTGACATAAAACTGGTTTTTCTTCAGAAAAGCCTCAAGGATGTACAGGCGTAGCAACCAAAAAAACTGATAATGGACTTCTTTTGCAGAACGAGTTCTAGGTGCCTGGTTGCAGTTAGTTGTCGGGCAGGGGCTGCAGCTCTTAAGCACCGCTGTCAAAAGTGCCGCAATTCCACCAGCAGATGCGCGAGTGACGTTATCTGGGTCTTTTTTTCAGAGAACCATCAAATCAGCTAACGACGTTCCTTATGAGTGCTTTTCCCCACAGAGACCGGCTACAAACCTCCACACACAAAATGGTTAAAAATAAGGAAGGCAGACAAACTCATGTAATTTCTGTCGCTCCTTCTCCAAATATCGTAAACAGAACCTCAATGTGACGGCCTATTATTCAAAGAGCCTTTTCGAAGCTTGAACGCATATCGCAGGTTCTCCATCTAGAATATTGAAGGCTGACTTCCAGCAAAAAGGATGCTTTCTTTGTAGAAAACTTAGCCAGAAATGAGCATTCATTTCCATCAAGAACTAGAGATATGCATCAGTAAAATTTTCATTCGCGACACAGGATGCTGGGTCACTTGTGTAAGCTGTACAGGAGCACGCAATTAAACGCATTGATTGATCTACTACCGAGACAAAAGCCACTTCCAAATTTCTAGGACCGTTAGTCAGCCAAGCCGATTCAGGCTTTCTTCTTCATTGTCTATAACTCAGAATGCAGCCACAAAAAGACACTCATGGAGAGCTCGTTCCCGAAAGAGTGAAACCTCCAGCACTGTGCACCTTCCCGATAAAAGCCACGAAAGAGTCGTCAAACCCCATTCGAAGACACACGGCCATGATCAGACGGCACTGTCGGAAAACCCAACGTGCCCGTGTTGACCGAGCCGTTCCAAGTTTGTGAATATAATAAAATAAGTTAGAACGATTGGTTAGTTCACATGAACATTGTCAAATAAGAAGGCTGTTCGTCCATAAATATCATTGCTTGGTGTTACTATAAGTTGGTATATCTTCCACGGGTTCGACAGAAGATCGGGTGAAAAGCCAGATTTTGACACACATTCCCCAATCGCCGAAGCGTCCCTGAATTCTGAGGAAACAAATAAAGGTATCATCACAGCAATTCCTCGAGCCTGAATAACGTCAGGTGCAAAAGCCCAGAAGTTCAGCCGCCGAAGGTAACAACCATTCAAAGTTTCGGGCGTTAGAAATCAAACCGCGCCACTCGGAGACAATAACTATGATGCACAGCTTAATATCACCATGAAGGTATTAGGATCCACGATAACTAATAAACTACGTCAAAAATAGCAGACAGCTGAACGAAACCATCTAACGCACAGGACTAACACTTGGCTGAGGGTTCATGAAGCCTAACCAACTTGCCGGTACGCGCCAATCCACCCCGAGTGAAAAAAAACCCACCCGTTGATGGCAAGTCGAACTTCGTTGACCGTTTGGATTAAGTCGTATGTCCTGCCGGAAAGCTTATGGACTTCGTGGTGCAGTGTTCGTTCAGCTACTGACTTCCTAAAATGGAAGAAACTTATAAAATATCAATGTGAGCGAGGTGGTTGACAAATTGGGAGCAATACTTACTCTATAAAATCAGCGCTGCAGCGGCTTGTTTACGTCATTTTAGACGGCTCGTTCCTTTTGTGTTATTTTTTACGGACCATAAGGCTTTAAGCAATATGAGAAGTACCTGAAACGCATCAAGTCTTAATTGCGGACGGACAGAACGAACGTGATCCTCCTTTTACGGGCCACACTAAGGCGTCGTTGTCTTTTTATACTTGCCGGTGCTCTACAACATTAATGCTACTATTGAAAGGAAGAGGGCATTCGCTGCGGAGTTGTTTATTGGAAAACGCTGACTGAACAATTACAGACTATTGGATGGGGGAGCAAAACTCTCATTTGCATCTTGTTTACAAGACTAGACATCCATCTTGCCCTTGAACGCGTCTTAATGCGCTTTCCTCGATATTCATTGACTGTTCCTAAAGTGCAAGCAAATGCTACAGAGCGACTCCACAAACTCCGTAATGGATCACACTTTTCAAGAGACGCAAAGCGGATTTACGAGAGAACATACTACACTCATGCCTTACCATCAGTAGTATCAACGTTACACGCCTTCTCCCTTTGGAGGTCGTTCGCATGCCACCGATTTTCATTTACCTCCATTTGGTCGGCTTCGGCAGCGTGTATACCCGGCCACTCTTCGGGTTTATCATACCACTTACAAAGCTGCGTCCTATTTACTCTTTTTGCTTCCCAACCGTCTTGAATTGTATAGACGTCCCCCCGGCGGTCGTTAACGGCAAACGGCCCTTGCCATCGACTACCTAGCTTCCGCAGCCCCAGTCCACTCATTCCAGGATTTTGATGACCCTTCTACTTGACCTTCGCGCCTATGTGCAATGTTCGTGACTTTCTATTTGCCGTTTTCTGCCTAGTGCTTTCTTGAACGGCGTTCAAGTTTTCTCGAGCTCTCCGCCTTTCTTCGCTGGCTTCTCCGGAGACAAGCGTGCTGCCGGCCACAACTCATTTTCCTGATCAACCGGAGGCGCGGATGTCAACCATACATCAGCGTAAAAGGGGACTTGCCTGTGGTTGGCTGTATGGAAGCACGGTGAGCCAGGAACACCATTGGCAAGTTCGCTTCCAGTCACCTCCTTTGGCCGCTAGCCACTCCTTGGGGGTTCGGTTATTATGTTCGGTTAGGCCATTCGTTTGGGGGTGGCATGATGCCCTCCTTAACCGTCTGGTACCCAGCTTCTGCAAGCGATTCCTAAACTCTTTGCTCGTTTGTGGACCGTTAGGCATCGATGGCCGCACGCATTCTGGGCGGGCTTGGGGATAGGTCCCACAGACAAATAAATCATCCGCAGACTTGCCTCTAGGACAGACTGGACGAACGCAATCGCGCAAGGGGTGACTTACATCATCACAAAAGTCGGCGTAATATGATGGTCTATCAGTTGCACAGTAGCGGTCAAGGCCACTAGTCGGCTGGTCACAAGCTTAAAACGTCCAAGTCTGCGACTCTGAGCCGCCATCTGGTTTAAGGTGTAATATCCTCGACTATCCATGGCAGGTCGTCAGTCGCAGAAGTCGAGGCTTAGCGCAATAAAATTTGCTCCCAAACAACGACGGATGTAGCCCTCCTGGATTCTATCCCTCGAAGTCAATCCGCCACTTTTTCCATTTGTCCACGAGGTTGTCAGAATTTGCCGGTGGTGGCACGAGAATATGCGTAAGGAGTATGTTATAATCCGGCAGCCAGCATTGGTGGATGAGAAAGCAACCTACAAACAACTATGAATAATATTTCATACTGCTTGGAACCGACTGATCTCTAAAGCCAAGGAACAGGGAAAGCAGAAGAGCCAAATCGCTTGATAAAAGAAGCACGTGCATTCACCGGCAGACTCATCAACTACCTAGGAGCATCTGGGTGTTCACACCAAAAAACTAAACGCAGTTGACGTAGGTTGACCCCCCTGTAAGTTCTAACACTATGATATTTCAGCCTCAAGGTCACGATCTCATTTGCTTCAAAATGAAGGTGACGGGCTAAAACAGAACGACGGATGGCAAAAAGAGGCACCCTGCCTAGCACCCGGTAAGAAACCTTATAATTACGAAAAATGATGAACCAGAACAGCAAATCTGGTGCGATAGCTAAATTGTCACTACAATATGTTGATTTGTATTTCAAATTCCACTGGGTGGGAAACTCTGAACCCCAAAATTCATTGAGGACGTCTGCCACCAAGGCTTCACTCTAAACTAACTAACAACACTCAGTGGAAACCAACTTTTGTGACGGAGACTTACGGGGCCACTCTTCAGAATATTTACTAAGCTGAAATTATCACAGCGTGGTCAAACAAAGTTAAAAGTGTCCACAAGAGAAACGAAACACAAACAGTTCTTCGAAATATCAACTACAAAATATCTCGGTCACCAGCTGCGATTGTGCAACTTGCGGAACTCCTGTAAACAAGATCCGCAAACTCAACTTCCGAAACCCATCCATATTTGGAGTATTCTCCCGGCAAAGCGCACTATTTACATGGGTGCGGCATCGTCGAATTAACCAGCTAGAGGCACTTCCTTTACGGGACGGCACCGAAGATCCCGTGAATGACTCAACAGCGGAAACCGGTCTTTACCAAAATATGTTTTGGTAGATGACTCTTTCTATGAATATATAGGTTGCATACACGGGACGAGATCCTACTCAACGCCGACAAATTTGTCTAAACACGAAGCACCGAGGATTTAAAATTTATTGCATGGGCCTGACGAAGGTGGCCATTGGTCTGAAACCCACCAACCGTGAAACACTCATGAAAACCGCTCGCGTGTTATTGTGACTATGGTCGTCACTGGTCGTCACCTATTGAACAACTCCCGGCAGAGATGTCCTCTTACTGATGATCTATCAATGCAGCGTTTTTACTTGTTTTTACAGTGAAGCCTTCTCAAAGCTCTATCACCGCCTTCTAAAGCTTTCTCAACGAACATGAGCGAGGCAACTTCTGAAGCCACGGTCCAGCAAATTCAAACTAAGACGCCCGCTGAAAATTTGGGAGGGTGAATGTTTAAAACAAATCGCGACTATATGTGGCTAGATCAGAGTGAGTTTGAGTTTGAGCATAAATCTCAGAATAAAAATTGCTTTCCTGTCGCAGAGGTTTTTAGAGAAGAGCATTGTGCGCCAGAGATAATTTGCGTCACCATGATCATTAGTTGGTGGGGCTAGACTGTTTCATGCGTTTTACCTGAATCTGAATATACCCAGTGCTAAGTGATCGAGAACGACGAAGCTTAAGCTTCGTACTTCGTATTTTTACTCCTTGATGAGCTCGTTGAACTTAAGTTGGATCGTTTGTTTTAACCCATCCAAAGGAATTGCACTGTAACTAGAAGACTATTTGAAGGGTGCAGACTCCGGAGTGCCACATTTCACGGATAACAACGAATATGGTCTCCCTCAGCTGTGGCTACAAGTGTTTGCAATGCATGTTAGTCGTCTTCAATGTGGTTGTCATCGTACGTAAGAATACTGAAATTTGCCCTGATGTCACTCAAAATTGCAGTGTTGTGGAATTGCGTTGATAGTTGTTGGTAGCATCGCCCAAGTCCAGCTGAAGACATACTTAACCAGCGAAGATGCTCAGCTTATGGCCTTCGTCATCTTTATAATAGCTTTCGGATGTTTCCTAACTGTTGTCGGAAGCTTTGGCTTTTGTGGAGCTTGCAAAAAGAATGTCTGTTGCCTCACAATGGTAAGACGTGCACCTAATTGAAAAACACAAAAACCAGTATATAATCTTCCTGGTGATATTCATTCTTGGTGGTGTAGCAGCTGGAATAGCTGGATTTGTTCTGAAGGACCATGTACGTTGTGAATTATTTTGCATCTTGGTGATTCATGTGATATTTAGGTGAAAGAATATGTAGACAAGGTTTTAACACAAACTTACAAGACGTACAATGAGGAGGTTTCTAAGAAATTGATTGATCTGATCCAGAAGGATGTAAGTCACTTCATCCATTCCTAATTAAGCTTTTCAGCTAGGGTGTTGTGGACCAGATGGCACATGGCCGCCGGGTTTGGGACAAGTACCTGATTCATGTCGTGATTCTAGTGGCCTACAATACACACAGGTGAGTTGCAAATACTAATTACAAGTTTGCTGTTTTATCTAGACACTGTGTTTTTTAATGGTGGACAAGAAATAGGCGTGTGCTAAGAACAATCCTACCATAGTGAATCTAACGGGATGTTGCGACTTGGGATTTAATACAAAAGCAACTAACGCACTTTACGGAGATAGCATTTTGGATAATAGCGAACACCTTTTTTTGGGGCGAAAGTTTACGAATCACAATCTCGGGTGTTATTCAGGTGGAACAACTTGAGTCCTTGCCCAATTTGTTACTAAGTCCGTGACTTCAGACAAGTTTTTGAGCTCAGTTCTAGTTAACTTACAGGGGATTTGTGTGGAAGTAATGTTGGAAGCTACTTTCACCTGCTTGATTCGCAAAATAATCTCAACGTACAACCCTTCTCTCATGTCGCTGACAAAAAGTGAGACCATTCTGTTAAATGAAGAGCCAAACTCACATTGGGTTGTTTAATCTACATTGGTAGGCCTGCTTGCGTTGGACGCTTTTTAATGTAGAAATACGAAGACTGACCAGGATACCAAAGCCTCTAAGTAAACAGAAAAGTATTGAATTCTCACTAGTTTCTTGGTCGTTACACTTGTAAGGATCTGTCAACTTGTAGTCGGATCGCATAGGCATGAGCAGGACCTTTGTCACTATTGGCAATCTTGATGGATTTTCTTGAATTTCTACCAATACAGGTGCAGCGGGACACCACTCCTCGTAGGGAGTAGTACTCTCCATGGGTGTGTGGTATTTGTATAGAACAATTAAGCGCTGTCCCTAAGGGAAACAAAGCCATAGACTGTTGTATTATCAAATTTTCTACTCGTTTGCGTATACATCTGGCAGGGTCACATCACTTTCAAAACAACAAACTAATTTTTTCAGCCAGTTTATTTGTCACTGAAGCCCTACATTCGAGATTCCTAAAGTTTTATTCATAAAAACACGATCAATTCATGTCTCGGATTTAATCGCACTTGGTGGTGACCAGTTTTAAAAAGGAAAAAGACAACAACAAGCTATCCAGCACCCAAGCTAATATGTTTGCTAGTAATGTATATTTTAAAGAGCATGGTCATTAACAGAAAATGTAAATCCAGACCACAGAAATTTAGGGGTGTACAGGAATATATTATAAACAGCGAGGGGAACGTTTCGTCCGAAGGTGTGCCAACAATTGCTCCAGTTGGACAAGATGGCTCTCAACATGCTTAAGAGTTTTTGATATGGGAACACACACAGACGAGGAACTGAAGGAAGGGTAAACATTTCGGAATACTTTTCAATCAACCAGAAAAACTACCTATTGTTTACCAAACGTTTCCAAAACAATTTTCAAATGCTATTTAAGGTAGAGTGAGCACTGGTACAGTCAAAACTTCCACATCGGGCACAAATTGTCTGTCATACTGAGTTTGGTGTGAAAGTCAATGACAAAAATGTGTCGCAAGAAGCGTCGTAAGTACACAGAGTCCTGAATGACGATGAAACGCAAGACACTGAGTGGCGGATTTTGGAAAATAAATCCATCGGCGAGAAATAGAAATCGGTTTTTGGACCAGAAAGTCAACGTAACTGTCGATTGCACGTAGAGCATGGTCACAAACATAAAAGAGTACGTCCGTAGTAAATTAACACATACTCTCACCTACTCAGTATTGTTGCATTTTTACATGCGGAGAAAGGCAGTAAACACGTTGAAGTTCATCTTTAAATTAATTGCCAAAGATCATTCCTGGCTTTGTAGTCTCCCTGAATGATTCTACTGTAAAGGCGGCTACGCAGCCGGTGTCTGAAACTGTCCGAAAATTCTCAATGAAATAAAAATGGCAGGTTTTACTATTTGATGGCGGAACTCCAGCGAAGACTATTGATTTGAATCTCGAGTTACCTTATGTACATAAAAGCCTTGAAAACAGGATATCCCATAATTTTAATAAATCTTATTTCACCGTTACTTTTAAAAGATTCTGTCCAGCTGATGCGCAAAATTTGTTCACAAAACTCTGGTCTGGTGTCCCTTTTTTTCAACCCAATACCGATCAGATTTCTTATGTGACTGTACTCTGGAGGTGAATTTACAAGTGTATAAACCTATATAGCTATTGGGAATCGGACGTCCCTACATATATCCCAAGCTGGAGATCTTCAGAAGTTTTAGGCAGATAATGAGTATACATTATGAGACTACGGAAACTAGTTTAGGTGTTGCTTTTTAATACTGCGATAAATGTTTACGTCGTCGGAAAAAACAGTGATTATGGACCATGTTGGTGATTTCTTCCATCAAATATAGTCGGAAGTTAACAATGGCCTCGAAGTTACCAGTGAACATGCGTTTGGGACTAGGTCTGCGGAGACTGTAACGTTACAGGCTTCGCTCATCTACAACTTACCAGCGACCATTTGGCAATGAATTGCACGTAATTTACATCTTTTGACTTCAATAAACCCAGACTTATTCTCATCAGTCAAGTAACTTCATTATACTTTTGTTTGTTTTTTCTTTCCCAGGGATGTAGCGCTGCACTGGATAAATTCATCGAAAAGAATATCCTTGCGGTAGCGTTGTGCGTCTTTTTGTTTGCTCTGTTGCAAATTCTCGCACTTGTTTTTGCGGTTTGTGTGTGCAAGGCGATTCAACGCGGTGAAGATGCATAAATGGAAAGAAATTGACTCGATTTATCTCCGAACTTCATAACCATTTTTCTGTACATCTTTGGACACGTTACTGGACGTGACCAGGTTTTGGTGAATTTTTACTTTAACCTTTTCAAGTTTGCAATCGTTTCTGGAGCACGTTATTCGTCTAAAATAGAACAATTAAAAAATATCTGGAAGTTTTACTTCATTACCGTCCAAAGGGATGAAATGCCGGAAGGTATACTTTCTTAAAGAACTTTTAGTGACTCTACCTAAAACTGTAAACGGAATAGACGGTTTTTTGATGCCACCACGTACAAAGGTAAGTGAAAGGTTGGTGAAAAATCCAGCCTTGATGAACGTAGCATATATTCAGAAGTTCTGAGGACTTCTTTAGTATCTGGTATCTGGTATCGAAAATCTTTGGTAGCGCTTGTTAACCGGTTGTTGGTTGCTACATCGTATGGGGGGTTGGATTTCTTCCCAGTCTGTAAGTTTTTCATGCTAAGGTATAGTTCAAAGGCAATCTGATTAGTGGCGAGTCAATGCATCTAAACCACCAATATTCTGGCGTTTCAGAAGAAGTTTCTCTCACTCTCCATACCTCCAGATCCCAGTTTAGATCTTAAGAATTGTGCACCGCTCACAGCGGAAAAACTGGTGATGCTTTAGGTGCGACATGATTTTATCACCTAATCCACATTTATCTGGGTAGACAGATCGTGTAATCAATCGAAGTTGGAACGAACTATCAGATACATATATGTCTATCCTGATTGGGTCACCCGCACTTTTTAACTCATCGTTTCCAAAAATAACCATGCAAGTGTTGGTGAGCCTCGGGCAACGGAGTAATTGTCACTAGAACGGAACAGTTCAAATTACTGACGCATCGTATTCCCACCCGGAATGAAGAATTTATTTAGCACATGCTTGTGACCGGGTAAATTAAGTTAGATGAATTGCCGTGATTGCAATCAAATTGCTTAGCTTAGTGATCAAACCAACGACCATCTAGGCTACCTGAGCTACCAACAATCTTCTCCATAGCGAATAATGAACAGCTGTCAATAACTTCATTCTACTTCATTAGCTTAGTGACCAACGACCATCTAGGCTACCTGAGCTACCAACAATCTTCTCCATAGCGAATAATGAACAGCTGTCAATAACTTCATTCTACTTCATTCATAGTCCTTCTGAGTCCGTGGACAGATTGGCGCGTGATTTTATTCCGTTAGGACGTCAACTCTAACCTGGACAGCCCATCATATTGGCATTTCTCAGGCATAGAAATGACATAACATGGTGTATTCAACTCAGATTCAGTGGCATGCATTGCGGTCACCTGCGGCTGTTTTCACAGTGGAACCGTTGCTTGGTGTTTGTGTATACTTAGAAGGGGGTATAAATACACCTCTTGGCCGACGCGTGAATCTGTCAGATGCTGGGTTTTGTGGGTGTTTAGATGGCGTGTTAACTGTGTTTAGGTGTTCGAAAAGAATGTCCACTAACTTTGTTCGTATCCGATTTCGTGATCAATCTGAATGTTGCGGACAACGTTGTTCTGGCCTTCAAAGACTCGCGTGTAAGATCATGCTCTGAACATTTGACCACCAACCACTAGCGACTTAGTGACGCCTGAAGATAACAAGAGATGTGTGACAAGCCCACCTCATTCCGCTAGATAAAAACAACGGCTTTGCTATTCCCCGTAATCTTGAATTCAGGCTCCTATTCTGTGATACGGAGAGATTTAGGCATGATCAACTCCAAGTGCTCCCATGGAGGAATTATTGAGAAATCTGATGGAGGAACAAGCTTGGTTGACAGTTTCTTTTCACCCGTGGGGCCACTCGCTCTTCGTGCATGATGTCGTTACGATGCGGATAAAAACTTCGAAAAATTACAGAAGATGATACCTCTCGGAGGATATATATTATTCTGATGCCTCTTGGGTTTCAAAGGTGAAGATAACTGTCAACTCGCCTTCAGAACAAGATGCACGTTGTTTCCTAAAGTTAAATAAGAGTTGACCCCCTCCAGAAACACCATCTCGCCGTCCTTGAGTGAACTCGATATAACTTTTTCGGAGCTGTTCCTTATGATGTTTTGGTGCAATGATGTCTCGGGCACTTGGTCATGGATCCTACATAAATTGACCAACATGGAGACTGCTCGCAAAGTATAATTTTACATATGGCAGTGAACAACTTGACTGTGATGGGACGCGTTTGATCCAACATTTTAACAGCTTCTGGTTTCCTTTTATGAATGAACTGTCACTTGAATGGATGGATTCCTAGATCATTACAAGCTCCATATGCTGGTAATTTGGGGCAGTGAGGCATCTGAAAAGAACTGATAGATATCGACTGCATTCTTCTGTCATTTGTTTGAACTAGCCGAGACTGTGGATTGAATGACAGGATTTGACTGCATCTACTAGGATATAAAACACTCTGGCTAAGACCTAATCATCAGAGGGTCTTTCTGTAAGGTGCGAATCGCTGCTATTTTTAGGAATCTCCTTCGTGTCACACCTGATGGAGGTCGTTCTTTGAGTCTACCTGATAACAATGACAGTTTCTTCGTTAACGTCATATTATTACAGTCACCACAGGCTCATCAAGGCCAGCAAGTCTCAGAATCAAATTTGTCATTTCTTACCAGTAACGATACCATCGATTTAGGTCCATGAATACACTAACGGTAGAAGACGCCAAGGGGTCATGCAGCATCTCAGAGCTTGAAGTTGATAGCAGTAATGAGCAGTTGATGGTGTTTGTACATTTAGTGTTATCCCTCGTGCAATCTGGCCGACAGCGTCACAGGTTTTTCGGTTGGGTGGTTCACTTGATCATAAACCACCGGCGAGTTAAGAGCTGTGTGGCCCACTCTCAGGGTTATCGGTGCACAGTATGGGGCAAGATGGCTTAGTGGTTAGGGCGCAAATTTACTGGCCGGAAGCTTCGCGGTTCGAAACCGACCTCTGCCTTTTGACGTCCCCTGTCTTAACTTGTGCAGTCTGCCAGTATCCCAACCCCCGTGCTGCCTTCTGTTGGCTGCCACCGACAGAGTATTACAGCATACTTTCTCCTATAATCCGGTGTGATCAGGCGTCTGAACTTTACCACTCAAAGCGTGCACTTGCTTTTTAAATGTAAAGTCTTCAGGAGTCGAATGGAATAGGTCAATGAATCAGGCTGGAATGTGGAATCGAGCTAGTGGTCTGCATTTCATCGGCATTTCAACACACCCTTGAGGTTCTGAACAAAAAGTACAAACAAAGGACTAAATCAGCAAGTTTCCAAAGTTCATGATCACTAGGTGGCGTGCCTTCAAAACAGCTCCTGAGTGACAGCATGAGCAGAATGAGTCTGCCTTTTTTCACGGGAAACATGGCATTACTTGGTTGCCAAATCCAAACATCTTCATCATCATCAAAGACAGCAACATCAGTGCTGGCACTGATGCTTCACTGCCGTACAACCATAAGGTTCGTCTAGTTATATATATATATATATATGTATACATATATATATATATATAGGTGCCTACACCTCCAACCGCTCAATCAGACAATCTGGAAAGAAACTGACAGCACGAATGCCACTGACATCGTTTAGCCGCCATTTCTTGCAACGTCTCCAGCCAAGCACAGACGGGGACCCCATCCTGGGAGGCGTACAACACCAACAACACTCAAACTCTTCGCGACCTCTTTCACGTGGTTTGCGCCATCCTGAACGAGGCGCGGAGAACAACACCCTTCTCGGTAGACGGTGTTTTGGCATGCGTAGCACATGACCGAGCCATCGTAGTCGGTGGTGCTGGATGTTTTCTCGGACTGAGGTGCCCGCAGCACAACCAGATACCCGTTTTCGAATCACCTCTTTACTAACACGCTGACGCCATCCACAACCAGCCACGCTTCTGAGGCATCGGTGGTCAAAAACCTGAAGACGCCTCACATCACCTGTCCGCAGAGGTCATGTCTCGCACCCATACAACAACACAGCCCTTACTGTAGCCTGGTACACATGCCCCTTAAGATCCAGCCAAACAAGACGGAGACAGTTGGATTGCTCGGCTCATCACGGAGCCTCTGGCCCAGCAAGTTGACTCTCGAGATAGTGATGTGGAAGCTGGGGTTTGTAAGACAGCTTGCGATTTCGCAGGATGTCAGTGTGAAGAAAAAAGAAAACCTCATCGGCTAGGATTAGACATGTCGACAGCGCGGGTCTTTAAAATAAGGCACTAAGAGAGCGAAACATAAGACACGTGCCAAATCATTGCTTTGGACTATAAAAGATCCCTTTTGTCTCCCCCGAAGTCATCGAGAATCCAGTGAGATGGTCAATAGTTAAGGTTGTTGAACACATTTCTACAGCACGCCCAAAATTTTATTTTTCTTGAGATTCGGCAGGGAGTGATGTTCCGCAGATTTCATCGGTCTTATATTTCATTTGGACTAGAAAATTGCACGTGTTTTCGAAATAAATCTATTGTAGACGGAAACACAATTAGAGGTTACCTGGATCTCCCGTTTGTGTAAGTTGCACAGTAAATGTTTAATTCGCGAGCGGTTTTACTTCTTTCCTGAAACATGAGGCTCACAGAAATCAAGGAAATACGTCTACCTGTTGAGCCCCAACAGAGATGAATCCGGGAGCATACTATTGACAGGTTTTCAGTAGCCTTAGGAGCGATCTCTACCGAATGTAGTTTGTTGCGATATCTCGAGCACCAATGGTAACATCGAGTATTTAGCTGCGAAATGTGCCATATGGGACTAGTTTGAGCTCCATAATAACGCAAAATTGGTAGAAAAAATGCATGTTTCGCGACCTTTGTTATGTACTGCAAGTAGTTGGACAATTAATTACACTTTCGCTTTTTCCCACGATGGACTGCCTACCCATCGAGTCGCTGAGTTTCGCACATTCGAAAACGTTGTTGTAACATAAGCTAATCGGAGAATCTTTGTAGGTATACTCAAATCTGCAAAGATTATTCCAAATTGTGTAGAATTAGGAATATATACTTATTGAACTCCATGTCAATTAAGTTATTCCTTTTTGCAGCTAACCATCCAAAATCTGTTTTAACTGAAATGAATGTTTTGCGAGAATTTTTCAGAATTTTGGATAGACTCAACCGAATCTCTCGTTTATAAAAATCTACAACTGAATGC